ATATATCAATAATTACCTAACTTAAATAAAATATGGAGGCATTAGATAATGCAGGTCTTAATAAACTTTATGAAATAATTGAATTTTTTTATTAATGATTTTAGAATTTTTCATTAAGGAATTAGGATTTAAATAAATTTATTGATTATTGAATTAACTACATAAATATTGAAATTGAATAACGTCTGAAAAAGATTAATCAATCTTTAATATTTCTTATTATAGAATTTTCAATCATCATTTAAATTTATTTTCTTGTTCAAAATTTTTAAATTTCTTAAATTTTTATTATCCTCTAAAGAGACAATTTTCCGAAGTCACCTAATTAATGTTAAAATTAGATTAATCTATTGTAGAATAAATCTATGTGAATTAGATATTTTGAACTTTTGTTCATTTATTACTTAGGACAATTTTTACATTTGCTAAATGTCTAATAATTTAATAGTGTTAGAAACTTGCATCCTATAATTGATTAATTATAATTTGATGATATTTTAGGCTTTAAATTTCTGAATTTAATTTCTCCAATAAGGATTCTTTTAGTTCCTTGCTTAGTGATTTAGTTAAAAGAAGAAAAGGTTTTTGAAATCCTTTGCTTGAGCAAGGCATGTTGTTAGTTTAAGCAAAAAAAAATAGATATATAAAAATAAAAAAATATTATTGATTCGTCTTTAGAGTTAGAGTTATGCAGCTTATGTAACATAGGCAATTGACTTTGGAGACTAACAAACCTAGTTTGGAAGGCCAGATTTTCTTTTATTTTTTGTTTTTATGCTTTTTGATCAGGTGTTATTCTCTTTTAATATTTCTTGAGCTTTTACTTAAAGATAATTTTATCTTAAACATTATTGATGTCTATTAATTAGTAATTAACTCTAATTAAAAAAAAAGCGTGAAACTGATAGGTGTCTGTTTATTATTTTAAGACTGATAATTGTAGCATGAAGTTTGTGTCTATGTTTATTATTTTAAGATTGATAATTGTAGGATGAAGTTTGTGATTTTCCAAAAACTTAAACGGATGAGTTGATATAATATCCACAGTGTATTTGTATTTTTACTTGTTCAATTGATTTTGCTTATATGATTTCAATTTTTGTGCCTGGATAGGAATCAAGAACCAAATAGGGATCAAGGTGTTTTAACATTTGTTATCTTGGTGAGCCAAAAAACACTGACACCCACACAAGTGGGGGATGTGCAGATAGTACTTCCCCTGCTAGTTAATTATTTCAATATTGTTGGGCCTTTTAATCCGCAAGATTACCGATTCCAGCCAGCTAGCCTTGGAAAATAAAATTGTTGGAGGGAGTTGGGGGTGGTGATGCACAATATTATTGTAAAAAGTAGATGAACCTAATGGTGGTAAACCATAATATGAAAGTAGTGTACTTAACACTTGTCATGAGAAAGAGGTAGAAGAAAGAAAATAGAAGATATGCTGACTACTACGATGTAATAGAAAAGATAAAGTACTTAACCTTTGTCATGAGAAAGAGGTAGAAGAAAGAGAATAGAAGATACGCGGACTAATATGATGTAATAGAAAATATAGAGAAATGAGTGTTGATGAGTTACTTAGGATAAAAGGGTATAAATGTATCATTATCTTTGTTTATTAATTTTCTGACTTTCGATGGTTGGTAACCATATCAGTACCGGGTCACAATATAATTTAGCTAAGGGGAACCTCAATTTTGTATCCTATGTCACAGCGTATGCGGTCAAAATTGGGTAGATGAGCAAAGCTCCCCTCATTTTTCTTATTTCTCTTATTATTCTATCACATAAGATCATTCACTTTAACACACACCATAATTTGTATGTCATTATATATTGTATATCATTTGTACGTCAATATTTATATATATTTTTAATGTCTATTTCTCTTCAGCTAATAAAAGGACGTGCTAAGAAAGAAAGAGCAGACAGTTGAAGGACACAAAACAAAAAAGCATCATACTCGATTTATTTAATCATAGCGGTGGAGCTCAAGTAGTAGTTACATGGCCCGATACTTTCCACGCTCACTATGAGCTATTACAGCATACATACATTTTACGACAAAGTTATTCAGTAAAAAGCCCCCAAAATTGAAGACAGTGGACCCTTTCTTCCCTTGTTCCCCTCGTCATTCTGCTGAGGCTGAGCATCCACAAAGAAGGAATCCTTTTGGTTCTTTAGTAGCTTCTCAACATCTTGAGCGGACCCAGGGAACGCAAGCTCCTTCACTTGTCTTTGTATCTGCATTATCACGTTGTCTTTCTCACCTTCAAATTGGAAATAAATAACCCAATCAGTTATGTTTCACGTGCCATAAGACATAAATGTAACAACTGTATATTCAATTTTAATGTTTTATATCACACACACATATACCTGCAAGGAAGTTCCTCTGGTTGTTCTCAGCATTGACACCAAACGCATAGAAATTGAAATTTGAGGTAGCGTTGAGGACAACTGGAAAAGCTGCTGGGATTACAAATATGTCGTTTTCAGACAATTCAGCTCTAAACCTCCGTGGATGTTGTTCGCTTATGCCCACAAGTTCAATGTTTGCTTCTCCTTCATTGACCACTAGTATCACTATGGCCTTTGAATTGTAGTGTGGCAGAAAAAGCGCTCCCTAAATTTGGAAAGAAAAAAAAAGTCATTATTTATAGTCTCAAATCTCAATGATTAGGTTCTCTAACTATGAAGAAAGTAAATAGAAATCAATTGTCTAGTTGAGTCTGTCCGCATGGTTTTCTTTGTGGTTACCTCGTTCAATTCCACAAAACTGAGGAAGAGATCCAACTCCCGTAGCTGCGGGTTTTTCTCTGGGGTGATCTCAAAAAACTTGCCAAACTTGTTGCAATAGATGGGCTCGCGGCTTCTCAAGTTGAATGGTTTATCTTCGGAGGAAATGGTTTTCCTTGAACTGGATTTGGCATGTTTGCTCAGTTCCCGAATTTGTTCCTTTGACAGTTTCACTATGACTCCCTCTTGCTGGCTCTGCTCACCATGCTTGTGTTTCTCCTCTCCAAACAGAACCTCGTTGATCTCCTCAAATTCAGTCTATAAAATCAATCAAATAAGATCATTATATTTAATTAGTGTGACATTTACAGAAACCACTTATTGGCAATGCAAATTAGATGCTTGCTTACATCAAAGGAGGCCTCTAGAATATTCTTGCTGAAGGCTTGCAAGTAGGATTTTTGGCTTTCAGTGCTAGATAGGTAGAAATTCTACAGAGAAAAGAGAAAGATTGATGTTCCCATTGGAAACAAATTATAAGAAACATTCAATTAAGGAATAAGAAAAAACTGCACCTCAAAATTGGCATGTTCGTTAACGGGCATGGCGAGTGTTGCTACTTTGAGTGTTTCCTTGTCGTCTGGATTGATCAAATAGTAAGTGGTTCCTGCAGGGATTCTCTGAGCATCTCCCTGGTGAAGGTCGTAGGACTCTCTGTCGTCGGGGCTCACGATGTTAAGTATGGCTCTACCTGTAAATGTATTAACAAGTTCATTAGCATTAACAGAATCATATAACTGATGATGTTTAGTTAGAAAATTACCGTTAAGGACAAGAAGGATGAACTCAGCATCAGCGTGGTTGGGGAGAAGGAGGGTGTTGGGTTTGGACTGGAACTCCACAACCCGGTAGTCTCTAAGGTTCTGAAGTTTTGAGGAGCGTTGATCGAATCTGGGAAGGACACGAATGTGACCGTATTGGTTCTTGAAAAACGTGTGGAACATGTTAGAGTCGAAGTGAAAAGGGTTGTGATGTGTTTGTGACTCTGACTCCGAACCTTGACCTTCTTCTTCTTCAGGCTCATGCTGATGCTGATGCTCCTGATGAGGTTGGTGTCGGCGTGGAAATGGACGAGATTGTCCCTCTTGCTCATGCTCATGCTCATGCTCTTTTTGCTGATGAGGTCGTGGAAATGGATGAGGGTGTCCTTCTTCCTCGTGGTGTTTCTTTTCCTCCTTCTCACCCTCCTGGCGTGCCCTTTCGCGATGTCCCGTCTCCTCGTGTGATTGATGGGCTTCAGCTCCGTCATGCTTAAGGAGGTTGCAACGAGCGTGACATGCTTCGTGCCTGTAGGCGTCATTCTCGGCATTGCAACTGCGGAGGCATTTGCTGTGAACGAGGTTGTCCCGTTCCCAGTAAGCGATGCCAAATGAGACAGAAACTGATGCTAGGAAAACAAGTCCCAGCAACAGCAACAGTGGGAACCGCGCTCTCATCATAGTTATTGCTTAATCCCTTAAATAAATACGGCACTAGAATGTTACACTCGCTCTTGATGATGAAAAACTTGGAGCGAGATTGCGGGTATTTATGGGTCTAGCAAAAATGGCTCTTATTAACGTATGCATGGACATTTGGCCTCGGGGTGGCATGCATGTTGACGAGTGTTGAAATCAACAAAAATGAGGTGGCAAATAGAAACCATAAACTGTGTGGGCTGGTGAGTGCTTTGGGCTGCATGGTGGACACATTGGTGAGTACGTGTTGTTGTGCATGGCATTTGGGGTCCATGGACGCGGCGCTAATCATAAGGTAGTGAAACAGTGGACATAGTTTTTGGAGAGGATACTCTATGTTTTGTCTTTTTATTCGTCTCCCTTTTAATTTCTTTGGCTTTTTCTGGCGCATCATCCACAGTGTTTTGATAACCGAGTACTAAGAAAAACAAAATAGATTGAGATAATTAGGACGGAGGAAGGATACGTAATTGATCACTACGAACTGTTCTCATCAAACTAATTATTAAATAAGCTGCAAATGAAGGCCTATCATGGAATCGACTTCATACTATGTATACTATATCTGTACGACTGCATGAATAATGCTTGATTATTAAAAAGGAAAAAAGAGATGATGTGATTAAAAATATATAAACGTATTAAACAATGTGGTAAAAAAAGTAAAGAAATAGATAAATGTAATTATTAAATATATTTTAATTTATTTATTTAGTGTACCGAGAAATATATTTTAATTACTTAAATAATATGTATTAAATACTCTTTTTTTTCATTTTAATATAATAACTATTTTTAAATTTTGTATTCTCTACTTACAGACACACATTAAAAAATTTCATGAAAACATTAAGTATTGGTGTTTTTTAAGTTAAAAATCATCATTATAGTATCTAATTTGACGCTATTTTCTCTTTTATTGTTAGGTACATTTAACATGTATCCAGCTTCTCACCCAGCCTAGGAATTGAATCACCTCCGTATTTTATTTCAGAAAAAATAAATAAATTGGTCGCTCAACATTTAGGGGGGTGTATTGGATTAGGATTTTAAAGGACTTTTTTAGTGAAAAAAAATCTTGCGGATTTTAAAAGACTTTGCAGGATTTTCATGACTTTTAAGATTTTGCAGGATTCTACAAGATTTAAAATCAGGATTTTAATGGATTCTACCAGACTTTTAAATCAGGATTTTAATGGATTCTGTGGGATTTTGTGGAGTTTTGACATTTGATAAGATTTAAAAAAAAATTCATACATTCAAATTTAAAAAGAGTCAAAGATAAAATAATTAAAAAAAACAATAATGTCTAGATAAATAATAATAATAATTCTCCATAATATTCTATCATCTTTTTATAGCATCCACTATCAATTGTAACAATTCATCGGAATCCTCCTTGGTCTAAGCTTCATAGTTTTCTTTCTCTTTTCCTTTTTCTTTATTATTTTCATGTGAATCTCCCATTTGAATTACTAAAATAATATATGTTGAAAACCAGTTATATAAATAATTATGGATAAGAGACAAAATCAATAAAATTATATTATTATTTTTAGAAGCACACCAATTATACAAGATCGAATATATCTTGGCTATCCAAATGGATCAAATATCTCAATCATTATAAAA